AGCCAACGCCTACTCGTAATCTCCGCCTACGCACCCACCGACCGCAGTTTGGATAGTGCAACGGATTAACCCCATCATGAGCTGTCAATTTCGCTACAGAAAGCCAAACGTTCAGACGGAGTCATATTAAAAAACAACTACTTCAATGATCAATTAGGAAAGTTGAGTCAGTCGGAAAGGCATCTCAGAGGCATCTATGGAATCTCAACAACAAACAGACAACAGCGGGTGTCCCTCATAGTTTCATTCCGATAGTAACTTGTTCCTAGCCAGCACTAATCTTAAGCATAAGGAAAGACGGTGCCTGACACGGCATCCAGTAACATTGAAAACCAACGATGGACACAGATAGATCATATCGCTACCAGCCATCGCTGGAGAGGATTGCTTCTTTTCTGGAGTACTTGTGTGGACTCTGACCAAGCGTTAGTACGGACAAGTGTACATCTGCACCTAACTGGTTTCAGGATACAGGTGGCAGTGATGTTCACGTGTGCTCGATTGGAAGATGAGAATGTCAAGAGTGTATTTAACGAGGAGGAAGCTGAGCATTTATCTGATCGTGACAGTAATCCTCATCCTGAGGAAGCCTGGCGTGATACTAAATCTGCAGCAGAAACACCTGTAAAGATAGTCAGTAAACCATATTCAAAGGTCAGCAAATGTCAATGGATTTACGCAAGATAATCCAAACTGGTTCTCCAGAGAAGACACACTTAGGCTGGTTCTGGTCATAGCGAACTCAAAATAAACAGAAATTGGCTGTCTTTGCAACGATCTCAAGCAGTGATGGGTGGTGAAAGCGAAATAAATGGAGAAGGTATCAGTAATAGGTAACACCTGGCAACCATTTAGGCCTATTAAAGACACAGGTAGGAAGAAGACAACGGTTAGTGAGACCATCACTGAAAGGGATGACGACCTGATAACCTCTCAGGACAAACGGTTAAGACGTAGGGTAGAACACTTTGAAGTCTAATTCAAACCGGCCACAGCAAATTTTCAGTTGCCCAGCATGCAGCCTCAACATGAATGCGACACAGATGTCGGTCCTCCATATCTCCTTGAAGCTATGAACCCCATTTTAGACATGAAACGACAAAAAGCAGCTGAACCTCGTTGTTTACCACCCAAAGTTTTTAATTTTGGAGGCAGGAAGTTACTGAGTATGGTAAAGAAGGTACTACTGGATCGTTTATGAGAATAGGAAGTAGAGTTGTCAGATTGGTCTACCTCGTTGGTCCCCCCAGTCAGTAAAAAGGGAGAGGTTTTCTTGTGGCAACCATCAGGAAATGCAGTTTGATCAGTGTTGTGTCCAAGATCCACATTTCTCGAAGCATGATTGGAGCTAGGGAACAGCAAACACGATAAAACCAGACAGATTTTGCACCTGGTCGTGGGTTTAATGATCAGATGGCCCATGAAAGTTCATCAAACACAAGAACACTTACCAATACCCAACACTAGCTGTCGCCGACTAAGCGCTCTCATGGCAGTCTCTCACTGAAAGAGTTGTCGAGTAAATTCATCCCCTAGTTGAAGGCCGTATATTTGAACATTCGTGAGCGTGTTAGAAAGAATGGTGAGTTGACAAGTGGGCTGGACATATCGAGTGGTGTATCAGGGATGTTTAGTCACTTCACTTTTATTTAGCTTTATCATAGACGTACTTATAGAGGTCCCCCCCGTTTGTCCGGCTTTACATCATCATCAACAACAACAAAGGACCAGGCATTATACTGCGTAACGCTCCGAGTTGCCACACCTTATATCAGTACATCAAGCAAAAGGGCAGTGAAGTGGAAGATGAAAATGGTGAAATTCAGTCAAAAGAAATATAAAGTACGAGAAGAAAGGAAAGAGGAGCGACAAAATGGTGAGATTCGGTATAGTGTAGTTAAGATGAGGATAATGTATGCATACATCTGCGCCACTGACATCGGTTCTCAGCCATATCACCTAGAGTCTCCAACCACTGGTTCCTCTTGTTCCGCGGACCCCAACCACCTAGTCTGCATCGTCCTACATGGCTTAAACCAACAGTCAGAGACTCCATGCATTGGTGCCATGTTTTAGTCTGGTCTCCTAGGACCTTTTTCCAGCCTGGGCCTACTTCAGCCAACATTGTGTGACGAGGCAATCGGTGACTAGGAATACGCAACACGTGTTCCAGTCATCTCAATCGACGAAGGTTCATAACCTCATCAACTGATTTACCTCTTCTCCCTAAAACTCTACACCTGACTTCTGCATTACTCACATGATAACACCACGGAATACAGCTTATACTACGAAGCCAACGGTGGTCAAACACTTGAAGCCTTCTTATATCTTCCACTTTCAATGGCCATGTTTCACAGCCATACAGTAGAACAGACTGGACTGCTGTGCAGTACACGCGACCCTTAATAGACAAATGGATATGACGGTGGCGCCATAGGTGGTGTAAATTGGCCAAAGCCAATTGAGCCTTTTGTATCCGTGCAGAAATCTCATCGGCAACTAACCCACCAGGGCTGATCCTACTTCCCAGGTAGGTGAAGTGGTCAACACACTCAACCACATCACTCTCTATTGTTAGCCGCGGTGGGGCACCGCTGAAGACCAGTCCTGGAACAACAATTTGCATTTCGGTGGTGAGAACTGCATCCCAAACATTCTCAAATTCCCACTCAAAGTGTTCAGAAGACTCTACATCTTGTCAGCGTCTTCATCCAACAGGACAATGTCATCTGTATATTCTAGATCTAACGAAAATTCTCCTGTGTCATCAGGCGACAAGAGGGAAACCTCCATAAGAATATCTATGGTGAAATTGAATAAGAGTGGAAACTTTACAGGAACTGATCTAACCACGGGAAACTCTTTAGTGCACACACACGCAGATGACAGTTTGGTCATGTCAAGACGCTGATAAGGTACGGTCTTTTGTACATTTGATGTCAATTTAAGAACGCTTCTGTTGCGTATCTCGCCACGCAAATGCAAACTGATGCTTCGGATGTTGTAAGTCTGCGCACCGTCTAACAATAAAGAACAGAGTGGTCGTGCGCTGAACACTACTTAACTAAAAAGCTGGACCAATCCTAATGGGTCAGCAGACAAATACGCAAGGCTCGGTTGGCTTTTGCTAAATCTCAACCGTTTATGCCACCCTGATATGATTGCTACGGTTCGCTCCGTTCTACTGTGTGGCTGCCCAACATAGCCATTAAAGGTGAATATGAGAAGGCTTCAAGTGTTCGACCACCGTTGCATATGTAGCATAGGCCGTGTATAGCGGTACCACCACTACAGTAAAGTAGAAGTCAGGCATCGTTTTAGATAAAGGTTTCCCACTTGATGAAGTTGCAAATCAAATATAGTATAATATGCCATTAGTGCACTGTCATCTACTGTTGCTTTGAGCCGTGTAAGGGAATATATACTTCCATGTTGGGGATTGACACCTGAAATCAATGTTTGGAGATTGTAGTTCATATGGCCCGAAATTTGTCTGTGACCCCGATGCTTGCAAAAATTATCTTAACCTTACATTATAACTTGAAGAGATCTGTTGTTCAAGCTTTAGTAACTTGCCAGTTTTAGTTTTTTAGTGCCTATCCTCTCAACTAAACTATTCATTTTATGGCAAGAATTCCCATTTTTCAAAAACGTAGCACTTCCAATATTGAGGATTATAACCTTAATATATTCAATCTTTAAGATGTTTATATATCACGACTGTAAAACTGAAATGGGATATACATGTACTCAATCCTAGAAAATCCACAAAATACGTGACCAACGACAGAAACCTGCCAACAGAAGCGACAGTAAATCTTCTAACGAGACATTTGAAAATAAAGTTGGATGGTCACAGAGGCAAAATCTTCTAGGATTTTGAAATGGAAAAGATTTGAAGGTCTCTATGAAATTAGTGCTGAAGATATCACCAAGCCTGGTGATGGGACGTTCATGACAAAATACCAAAGCTCAAAGAACTCCAAACCACCATCATCAAGGATTAGAACAGACCGATTACATTACACTTTTTATGCCTTCAGCACAACCCAACGATCAGTGACATATGTACATTAGTGACAAGGCGCCAGTGGCTAACCATAAGACTTTAAAGGAACGGTCAGGTTTGCGAGACATTGGTGACACATTATATGCATAACTATACGAAAAAGTGGAGTGAAAAAGCGGTAAAATGTCTATACACGATCGCTTAGATTAATGCCGTCTTTTTCACGCTGCAATAGGTCCAGACACCTTAACCTCGAAGAGTAATAAAAGTGAGACAGCAATATGTGAAAACACTTGGTTACTTTCAGTTGAACAATATAAAAGTAACAAAAAGACTGACACTGCTTGAAGGATTGGTCTCCCCCTGATGACTACAATTCCACATGATCCTTTAACGTGTAGCATTAAGTGACACAATACCATTGAAGGTTTCTTAAGCTCAAATAACTTTAGAAGCTACTGATCATTTAGCAAGTTCCACGTTTGGGTGTCATCATTCTTAACATTTGTCAAACTAATTCAGACCGTATGACCAACAACTAGAACTCCTCAGCAAGCAGTATCAGCATCTTTGGTCAACGTGTCAAAGTAGAAACCAGATCTTCACAGAGATATTGTAGCAGTGGTTTCTACAAGGATCAATCTAGGCCAACTGGCCTACTATAGTAGGATATAAGGATATATCCTTATTACAAAAAACTGAAGCCTAAGTGAAATACTGTTGCTTTCGGGAAATCAGCTTCAGGCATATCCGAGACCCTTGAGAACTTATAGGAAAAGAGGTTGGGGTTTTTTGCGGAGAGCAAGAGAGCAGAGATTATGGTGAGGCTTGAGCGTTTTGTCAGAAAATCCTAAGGTGGGCACGAAATATTTGGGCAGTAGGATGTAACTCAGCATTATGACCCAGACTCATCAAGTGTTTAAACAGTTTATTACTTGAAGAAAGCCTTCACCAAGGGTAAAACAGTAAAGAAAAAAGTGACAATTACCATGTTAGTGTTGGCAACAGAGGAGTAGCTCTAAAAGACATCCCAAGGACAAAACTGTTCCGTAGCCTTGATGGCTAAATCATGCTATAAAATATTGAAAATAAGACATAGTTTACAGTTTTTTAATTGAAAGTTTTAGTGATATACCGCTTCTGACCTCACAAGTAAACTGCCTTACAAGTCATTCGCTACCATCAAATGACGGTACACAGTATGGTGGCTGTTCGGTCGCGTGTGCTTGACGGGAATGGATAAATCATGCCCTCATTGCGTCATCGTGTATTCTGAACAATGTTTGGGGTGATCTTATCCCGGAAATAATGTTGAAGATCGCTTGGTAAACAAGCAATTACCACTGCCTATAGAGCAGGCTAAGACAGTATGGAGATTATGAGAGAATGATGCTGCAAATACAAAGAGTGTCCTAATGGGGTGTCATGCAGACTGGGATATCTTAAACTAATTTAATTTAGCCATTAATATAAGTGGCTTAACAGTGGTAAATAAGGGGTCGTACAAAACATGTTAATGAAAGTTTAGGATTTGTCCTGGTGCGAACTTGACAGACGCAAAGACCAATCACTAATTATTCGAACTTGTTATATACCCACGAATACGAGACCAAGGTAGAACACGATAGCGTAGTCGGATGGAATAGTATATTTGGATGGTTATGCCAAAATACCGATGCGTTCCAACTAACTGGCTAGAGAGTCGAATACGAGCAATGCAACGTAACACGACAGCGTGCCAAATGGCCAGGATGCTTGACCGGGTGCCTTCAGCTTAGCGAGTCCAGTTAAACTATCAAGGTCAGCATCGATGTCGAAAGTCGTCAAACCCTAGGCTACTGATTTTGGGGAAGTGTATGACGCTACAGATCACTCCCCCCCTAGTGGGTTCGTGAGGACCCTAAGACGATACCAGCCGGAAGTAAAAACCCAGTGGTTTCTCCACTGGTAAAACTCTTCCGATGGGCTGACTGCGTGAGGTGGCCCCTGGTTGTCTGAACCTTATTCTAGGGTGTCGTGGCGATTAAATAAATAAAATACAATAAATGGAATTGTACGTCGGTCGCGGTCATCTGTTCCTTTCGACGTTCCGTCCAGTGCTCGTTGCACCTGGAATATAAATAAAAGTCTTTAATACCACGAAAACGTTGCGTAAAAATGGGAATTATTTATATATAAACATATCGAAAAATAAAAATTTACGCTTATCTTCACCGGTTTTTTTTTAAATTTCATTACATGGTAAAAAAATTGATATAAAAAGGCAAAGTATACGAGGGTTTGTATTGATGTATCGGGTAGGAGTCCGGGGTGTTTTGGCGTTGAGCCTTCGGTAATCACCGGTTGGACGCCAGTCGTTGCTATCCTTTTTGGGAACCATGTGCAATGGCGATGCCCAAGGACTGTTTGACGGTCTGATAATGCCCAGGTCGAGCATGTGGTCGAATTCATTTTTCGCCGTTTGGAGCTTATCGGGGGCTAGACGGCGCGCTTTGGATGCCACAGGTGGACCTGTGGTTGTGACGTGATGCATAACATTGCTGGTTATGCACGGAAGAGTGTGCTTCGGTTGCTGTAACTCTGGATATTTCTCCAGAACTGCCTGGTAGGACGCGTCGTCTGATTGTTTAGTCCTAACGATGGCTAAACTCGGACCTACATAGGTGGTGCCGCCAATGGATAACTTTGTGCTGTTATCTATCAGTCGTCGACGGCGAGCATCTACGAGTAGATCGTAATGGTTTAGCAAATCTATGCCAATGATGGGCATAGAGACGTCTGCCAGGAGGAAGATCCAGTGGATAGGTTTGCGTAAACCTAAGTTGAGGTAGGCATACCGTCTCCCGAATGTCGCGATTGCCTTGCCGTTGGCTGCTTGAAGATTGAAGGATGGGTCAAGATGACGCTCCTTTGTCGTTGCTGGAAGAATGCTAACTTCTGCGCCGGTGTCGACGAGGTAGCGGACTTTCGTTTTAATGTCGGTGACGTAGAGCAAACGGCTTTTTCCGCCGGCTACGGTTGCCGTGAGCACGTGCCGGCGTGACCGTTTCCCGAGTTTGGGTCCTTCTTAAAACGGCATGGTTTACGACATTTTCTGGCTTCATCCCCGTAAGTGTTATGAAACCAGCACCATTCAGGGTTTTCCACCCTGTTGGGTTTCGTTTTAGGGCTACCACACGACTTGCTGCGATGCGCCAAGGTGCGTTTCTGTGAAGTGCTACGTGATCTAGGACTTCGAGATCGTAGCAACCGTCTCACAGAGTTGCACAACTTGGTCACCTCTGAATCCTGGCGCTCTGTTTTGTCGCAGATAGAATATACGTTGGAGACTGGTCTGCTGGATATCTCCAGTATTTTATCTGCTGAGGCTGCCAGGTCGTCGAGTGGGACTGACTGGAGTGTCACCAACACGGTTTGCACCGGTTGTGGTAGTTTCGAGAGAAATAGTTCTCGGAAGAAACCATCGTCAAATGTTCGTGCACCGATTACTTCTCGCATGCGTGCGAGGACTTCAGTAGCTGAGTGGCTGCCTAGCTCGATGTTACGAAGTAATTCGTCTAGACGTTGGCGATCTGTGAGATCGCTTTTCTTCAAGAGTGCGGCCTTTAGAAGTGCATAAGGGTCACTTACTTCAGGATTAAACATGTTTGCTGTAACATACCTGTTTAATTCTCGCGGTAGTGACCGTATGACAGCAAGAAATCGAGAATGAGGATCTGAGACACCCTGTTCTCGAAAATCTGCCTCGGCATACAGAAACCATGTTTCTGCATTGTCTGGCCAATATGGCACGAGTTGGATCGTGTTCGAAGTCGGCTTAATACGAATAAGCTTGGGAGTGTGGTCGGACATGAGAAAGTGTAGTAAATGGATATATAAATGTTATCGAAATGAAAACAATAAACAAATATAAAATGGAACAGGCTCACCAATTCAATACTTGTTATTGGTCGGGATATGTGATCACGTCGGGCTCACCAATTTAGGATTTGTCCTGGTGCGAACTTGACAGACGCAAAGACCAATCACTAATTATTCGAACTTGTTATATACCCACGAATACGAGACCAAGGAAGAACACGATAGCGTAGTCGGATGGAATAGTATATTTGGATGGTTATGCCAAAATACCGATGCGTTCCAACTAACTGGCTAGAGAGTCGAATACGAGCAATGCAACGTAACACGACAGCGTGCCAAATGGCGAGGATGCTTGACCGGGTGCCTTCAGCTTAGCGAGTCCAGTTAAACTATCAAGGTCAGCATCGATGTCGAAAGTCGTCAAACCCTAGGCTATTGATTTTGGGGAAGTGTATGGCGCTACGAAGGGACCTATCCCTTTTAGTTGGTTTTCTTGTTATGTAAACGTGAAATAGATCACACTATGCACTAGTCCTACATAAGCTACTTGAGTTTAAGCATTCGGTGTTGGGGCGAAACTTGGGGCGGATGAGATGGATTTTTCGGGGAAACTAATGTAATTTCCAAAGGGAAAATTCTGCACCTAGCCTGCATTCCCTTGTAGCGCCACACCCCTAAAATCAATAACCTAGTGTTTGACGCTTTTCGACATTGATGCTGACCTTGATAGTTTAACTGGACTCGCTAAGCTGAAGGCGCTTAGTCAAGCATCCTTGCCATTTGACACGCTGTCGTGTTGCATTGCACTGCTCGTATTCGACTCTCTAGCCAGTTAGTTGGAAGGCATCGGTATTTTGGCACAACCATCCAAATATACCATTCCATCCTACTCCGCTATCGTGTAACCTCACCTGGCTAACTAGTTCACTAGTTACTAGCCGGTCCTAAGCCCGGGTAAAGAGGGAAGGTTGGGCATAGGGATAGCAAGCCTACCCTGTAAAACAAATCTAACCGCCAAACAAACCCCAAAGCACAAACAAAATATAAAAAATGAATACAAACTTATTCCTCGCTGGAATCGGAGAGGCGTAATAAAGCCGGTTGGTGAAAGCCTTCGGGAAGCCAATTGGCCGATGTGTCTTCTCTCTCTCGATGAAAGCGAAAGTAAACGTGGGGAAATGGAATGTCCATACGATGTTTGAACCCAGCAAGGCAGCCCAAATTGCGAAAGAGATGAGAATGTATCACATTGAAGTGCTTGGGATTTGCGAAAGCACATGGAATGGGAGTGGACTCTCCAAACTGTCAACTGGAGAATCAATAATCTACTCCGGTCACCCAGACGCCAACCACGAGCACACTGAGTTATGGAGTGACTATCATGAAGTCCCCTTGAAGAGCATCGAAGGCTCTCATGCAGTGGGAACCAATCTCCTCTTGCTGGATCATGACAGCAAGATTCAACTCAAAAGGAAGGAAGGTCACAATCATACAATGCTATGCACCTACAAATAGTGCAGAGCAAGAGAAAGGAAGGAGGAATTCTACAGGCAACTTCAGTCAACACTGGACAAGACGTCAGTTGGCGATATCAAAGTTCTAATGGGCGACATGAATGCCAAACTGGGAAGGGACAACACTGGAAGAGAACTAACCATGGGTCGAGAAGCACTCGGTAAGGTGATAAACGAGAATGGAAAATTGTTTGCAGGATTCTGTGCATTCAACGATTTGGTGATTGGAGGCTAGGCAGTATGTTCAAGCACAAGGACATCCACAAAGCGAGCGACATGGATTTCACCAGACACCAGGACACACTAAACATCAAATCGACTTTATCTCAATCTCGAGAAAATGGAGACGCAGTCTACTTGGCACAAGGTCAAGAAGAGGAGCAGGTGTAGGTTCATATCACTCACTATCTAGCGCAAGGAACCTTCCAAATCAAGGTAAAAGCCTTCAAGGAAGCTGGTGATAGACCTCAATTCAAGTACAACACTCGGAAACTGAAGGATGAAACTACAAAGGAGATCTTTACGGCAGTCAGCCATCAAGACGAAATGGGAAATTTCGAGGAACATCCCCAAAGAAACCTGTGTGGAAGAACACTGGAAGTCTTTGAAAGCTATG